CATATACAGTGTAATGAAACCCTGTTTGAATCACAATACATTAGATTGATCTCTAATATATTCATTAACTGATATCCCAATATAAAATAGAGTCATCAACAAAACTGAACACAAAGATAATTCATTTCTGCCTACTATCCAAAAGACAGACAGAGCCCATGAGTTGCAACAGGGCACCTGACAAGGTACAGGAGCTCCAAGATTTTGAAATTTAACACAGCAAAATAATTAGTAAGTGTTCCATACATTCATTAATACCCTCTTTGACAACATGGTTTCCTTGATTTCGAAGGTATTATCATCACATACTCTAGAGATGTGTCATATTATTATCACATACTCTATAAGATAGTACCTACCTGATATATCTTCGGCTCAAGTTTTAAGTTTATGATAATAAAGTCGACACATTTCAAAATAAGATAATACTAACATACAAGGAAATCTCAATTCTCAGGCCTTGTCGGTAGTCAGAAACGTTACTACAAACCACTGCTGTTTACAACTACGGCACCGAAGAATCTTTTTTACTAAATTTTCACATGAGTAAAAGGTGAAAGTGGAACAAAAAAGTTTGATTCAAAGATATCTTATAATTATCACATCATATTAATATATTAAAATAAAATGACGTAATAAAACAATCAAATCTTATATTGAATGTGTGTAAAATGCTCTTCATAGATCATGAATATAAATTAAACCCTTTCTAATATTTTTGGGGCAACGAATTTTAATCTTTTTACACATCTTTTTCACAAATTCTTATAGATTTGATTCTAAACTACTTCTTAGATTTTGAATTTCTGGGTAATTCAATCATAAAAGCTAGCTCACGAGGGTAAAGTTACTCTTAATTGTATATATTATTTTGTTATGTCACTAGTCAGTATAAGGTCATCAATTTTATGTTATAGTCTAGTTAATATGAGTTCATCAAGACACCTTTCAGTTATAGTCTGCCAAGTCTAACAACAATCAGTATAATGGGCTTGGATTCCTTCTAAGATTTTAGATTTGGATCTAACTTAAAAGCTAGTTACTTACAATAGTATTTTATCCATATCATTAGTAGACGTTGGATATCCAACACTACTTTAAAGACAAAAACAAATCAAAGAGTTTCAATGTCCAAAAAATAAAGTACAAAAGAAAATACTGACAAATATGTTGAGCTTGCCGTTGAAGGCAGAAGTGACTTGCTGAATGAGGTTCTCTCTTTGGGGTGAAGAAGTGACATCGCAAACCGAACCAGAAACTGAAAACCCCTTCTCTTTCCACTCCTTTAAGCGTGCATTGAGCTCTGCTTCATTCCTAGAGCAAGTGTACACCGTGGCACCAAACTCCGCCAACCAACAAAAAACGAAACTTTATGTCGTTTTAAGAAACCCCAGAATCACGAAAACTCAAGCAACAAATAGAATCCACAAAAAAAAAAAAAAAGAAGAAGAAAATGCGAACCCTATTCCACGTGTGCCTCCAGTAACGAGAGCAGTGGTTCCCTTGAGGGACCATCTTGAACCTCTGCTACTGCCCTCTGCATTCGCCATTGTCACTGTGTTTTTGCTTAGGTTTCTGCATGTGAGTTGTGACCATGAAGATTGAATCTTATCTCTAACCAACGGAGGGGTTGTTTGTGTTGTCGCTGCTCTGGTGATTAGGACAAAGCATGTTTTGTTAGGACAAGAGTTTCGGTGAGAATACAATTATCATTAACATTTCTAATGTGGATTATATGCAGTCGGAGAAGGAAGAAGAATAAACTCTCTATCCTTGATTTTTATTTTTATTTTTTTATATCTTTTTAGAAAATTTTAGAATTATTCTCGGAGAATGCTAGTATTAGAATGCTTAATTATTTTTAACTAAGTCAGGTTGTATACATATTTTTATATATACTAAATTTAATTTTATTAGGTGTAAATTAATTATTGTCCTACAAGAATTTAGATAATCAATCTATTAGGAAAATATTATAAATACCTTTAAAATTATCATAAAAGTCAATAATTTTACTTCTAACAAATTTACTCTTTAAATCAAATTCATTTAACTTTTAAATGTGAATTTCAAAACAAACAAAGGTGCTTGTATTAAAAATAACATTAATTATCCATGTTTCATAGTTTCACAAATTTTGTAATTAATTTTTTAAATTTTTTATATATTTTATTATTCTATTAATTAATTATCAACATGATATATTATATCAGGTTATCATTTATATCACATTAATAAATCATATTAATATTTAACATATCATTTATCAATAACATAGAACGATTAATTAATAAGATAATAAAATGGAAAAATTTTAGTAGTTAAATAGCAAAATATGCGACTTAAAAAAAATGCACTATTGTGAAACATAAATGATAAAAAAAGTACAATTGAGCCTAATTATTATTGACTTTATGCTTGATTTTATTTATTTTTATCTATTATAAAATTAATAAAATATAAGAAAAAAATTTAGACACTAGTTTTATCTTTTATTTTGATAATAATTTTTAGAAATTTATTAAGAGAATTCTAATATTAGGACCCCATTTAGAAGAGTTTATGTATAACTTATTTGTAATTATCTTGTTTTATAAGTGTTTATGATAATATTTGGACATGAAATGTTATAAGTAACTCATAAGATGTTTGAGCTTATTTGGATAAGTTATCCATACATTTTATTATTTAACTTATGCAATAATTTATTAAAAAGTATACAAATTTAAATCTTGTCACTAATTAAATAGTTTTATTTATTTTTCATTCTTTCACTAAAAGTCAATTTTATATTTTTTCACATTATTCTCTCCAAAAAAAACCTTGTAACTTTTTTTCTCTCTCTCTAAAATAATACATTTGGAATAATTTTATTGTTGATATTTTACAATATTTTTTTAATCATGATTTTATAAAATATATAGAATTGAGTTTTTAATTTTTAAAATTTATGTTTCTTAATTTTAATTGTGGATATACATATAATTATTTCTCATATTTTATTATTAATTTTATTTTTTATAAACTAAAATTAGGTGAATGGTGACTAGCAATTTTTTATTTTAATATTTTTGTGATATATAATATCATTTTTAAAAAAAGAATATTTAGTTACTTTTTATATTTTGATTTTATTTTCAGACAAAATTTAATTTTTAAAATTTTAAAATGAAATAACATCTTATAACTACTTAAATAATAATACATCTAAACATTTTAAAATTGTATAAATGTTTATTAATATGTATATTTAAATATAATAACTTATTGAATTTTAAATTCTTATTACATAAGAGCTTATTAAATAAGATCTTAAAAAAGTTGTTTGTCCAAATAAGTTCTCAATATGTTTTATTATTTTTAACTAAGTCAAGTCATATACACATTTTTATATATACTAAATTTAATTTCATGCATGGATTATAAATTAATTGTCCATCTAAAAAATTAGATAATCAATTTACTATAAAATTATTATAAATATAACTTTAAAATTATCATAAAAGTCAATAATTTTACTTTTATAATTAGATAACAAATTGAGTAAATTACACTCACAACTCTTATATATTTTTAAGAGTGCGTTCGATACACTTTCATAATTTATCTACAATAAGATTAACTTAAAAGTTGAACAAATATTACACTAATCCAAACGACATCCATTTTGTTAACATATGCGTGTAGTGTGATTTGCACGTGACTTTTAATGAACGTTTTCCTTCTAAAATATCTTCATCTTCTCCAATTGCTCCACCCATTTCTCCCTCTCCTTCCACCCTCTACACCCTCCACTTTCTTAACCACACCATCACCATCACCACCCACACCCCCACCCCACGTGCTTCTTCCTTGCCAACCACTCCATCATTCTCCTCCTTTCTTGGTCTCACTCTTTCGATCTCCCTTTCAAGATTTGACCCAAACTTTCCCCCATGGAGCTTGAGTCCATGTTCGCCCTCCAATGGCTCATCTTCTGCAACCATCGTGTCATAATTGCTAGCACCTCCTCTACTCCCTATGTGAATTGATTCACATGCCAATACTGTTATCGTTAAAAAATCCTTACTTTCACTCTATGAATTTGACATTTTGTTTGTTGTGTAAAGCTTTTTAGGGGAATCTGTATGGGAGGTGATGGGGGAAGGGAAGCACATGGAGGTGGTAGTTAAGGAGGTGGAGGGTGCAAAAGGTGAAGAGAAAGTTGACAAATCCAAAGCAGAGAGACGTGGATAGAGCAGTTGGTGAAGATGAATATAATTTAGGAAGAGAAAAAATTATTAAAAGAAAGACCGATATAACATTTGTTCAACTTTAAAGAATTTTACTATAGACCTAGATTATGAAAAGATATCAAACATAATCTTTAAAATAAAATACAGGAGTACGAGTGTAATTTTTCTTAACAAATATACTCTTTAAATTAAATTCATATATTGATGTCCATACTTAAAAGAACATAGGAAATATCACTTTTAAATGTGAAATTCAAAATACACATGATGTTGCATGATTAGAAGTTGTTTCTTTTTAAACTAAACACTAATTATCAAACTTAATTGCATTATTTTATCCATGTTACATAATTTTACAAATTTTGACTTTTAACTTTCAAAATTCTCACACATTATATCACTTCATTAATTATCTGTAGACATGTATATCACATTAACAAATCACATGAACAATTAACGTATCATATAAATAATATTCCAACAAAGTCAAACGGTCAACTAACAAAATCACAAATAGGCAAAAATTTAATAGTTAAATAACAAAATATGCAACTTTAAAAAATGGACGACAAAGTACGCATAATTGTGAAACATAAATGACAAAAATAAAAGAAGAAAAAGTATATTAGCTATTGACTCATGTAAAAATGTGAATCAAACTTGTTGGAAACTCTTCATTTGATTCAGTTCGCGCCGGTTGAAGTGCAATAATGTTATAAAAACACTAACGGCACTTGGCACTAGTTAAATAATAGATATGTTAAATAATGGACAAGAATTGAGGGATATATATAAGGTGGTGAAAAGAGCACAGATAATCTCACATTAATGACATTAATAATATTAAAATGATTTATTGACCAATAAATAAAAAAATGGATCATGGGTGATCCAAAACTCAGGAAATCCAAACTAAAAAGATGACAATTTTGCTTTAAGAAATTCTCATCGTGGGTTGAAATCCAAAGGCAGTAAATCCTCCATCAACAGAAACAATTTGTCCAGTGATGTATGCAGCTGCTGGCAAGCAAAGGAAAGCCACCAAGGATGAGACTTCATGTGATTCTGCCACCCGCTTTATTGGTGTGCGGGATATTACCTCATCGATGAACCCTTTTTTAGCAAGCAACTGTTAATAAAGTAACAGTTAAGAAGGTAATATTTTTATTTGAAGATTAATAATACAGATAATCATGCTAACATACAAATGTAGAAAATAATTCATCAACACTTAAAAAGCAACAGCAATGCTAGATAATCAACAGGAACTACTAACTACTACAATAAGACATGCGATATATTGTCTAGAAACACAGACTTTAGCTAGAAATTTCCTGTCAACTGTAGTACTGAAGCACATACTTTGGTACCATCTTCACATAAAAACCTGAGGAACACTAGATGAACCTATACTGTGTGTCATATTCACACTTATGACATGATGAGTCTTCTTCACAGTAATCTTCATGTGTGCCATGGGTTCAAAGCACAGATTATGTATTGGTATTTAAGAACATGGTATGGAGGTAGTACAGGACCAACAAGATAGAATAATAGTACAGAACCAACAATGAAGGTTGCACAGAATTTGCTAATGACCAATGAGTTCACTGCTCATCCAACTCAATTTAATTAGTCAACACAAGAAACCAGACTTCATAAAGAAAAAAAAATGATTAGTAATTGGAACAGAAAATAAAATAGGGTGAAAGAGCATTACAGATTCCACTAATGGTGTTTTGGTGTACCATGGTGCGACACAGTTGCTCCTTATATTGTCTTTTGCCCATTCACAAGCAAGATATTTCGTAAGTTGATTGATTGCAGCTGAAGAAAACAGCATGTCGAATTTCTTTTGTCAATATCAAAATAGTTGGTAAATGGTAATCTATGATTGAGCCGGGGTGACATAATACATCAACTCACCTTTACTTGCTGCATAAATAGCTCCAGAACCTACGCTTGACAGACTTGCAACAGAAGATATGAACACAATACTTCCATTTCCAGATGCTTTAAGAAGAGAATATGCAAGTTGACACAGATGGTATCCAGAGTCCAAGTTAGTTGTCATCAACTTTGAATATTCTTCGGATGTATACTCAATTGTTGGTTTCCTCACATTTGTTCCAACATTGTTAACCTAAGTTCACGAAAGGATCGTATAAACAAAATTTAGTATGTGCTGACTGCTGAGTCAATAGTCATGCTCATAAGAGAAACAAGTCTAGCAATTTGAACATTTTTTAATATTAACAGTTTTAGGTTTTCAATTATTAACTGTATTGTGCAGATATCAATGCCTCACTTTCTGAACGCATTTAAAGCAAAAATATGGTGGTCTTAAATTAGGCAAAATACATCAAGAAATTGCAATTATTTATTTATTTTTTAAGTCAGTAACCACTTGCAAACTGAGTGCATGTAAGATGAAAAAATGATGAATAACAAAACATGCAAATTGAGAGTTTTACCAGAGAATGTTATTACAATACATGATAGCATCATACAACAATATACAGCATTCTGCAACCCTGTTTGAATTATCAAACATGAGATCGATCTCTAACATGTTCAGTAACTGATATCCCAATATAAAATAAAGAGTCATATATAAAGCTGAACACACAGATTATCCTTCCTACTATCCTAAACACAGGCAGAGCCACTGTGTTGCATCACTCAGCGTACATGGCAAGGCCCAAAGGTATAGAAATTTAACACAGTAAACAAATTAGTAACTGGTCCATACATTCACTAATACACTCTTTGACAGCATAGTTTTCTTGATTTCAAAAGTATTATCTTGAGATGTGTCATATTATTATCATATACTCTATAAGATAGCATCCTTAGTGTAATAGGAATTTCCCGCATTCACACATTCAGCAAATCTACATTGTTGGACGAAGATCAAATGACTCCTATTTCAACTCGACAAATCTGACTTAAGATATATATTGAAAATATGAATCATCCATTATTCATCCAACTGTTCCATTCATGAATACGGGAATGCAGAAAATCCATTTCCTATCAGCCTTTTTACCTTTCTACATGCACAATTTGTCAGCAACATTGCAACATAGTGCATACAAACCACTGTTATCTACAACAGACTTCTTTTCTAAACTTAAAAAATGATAGAGAAATAAAAAAAGTTTCATTCAAATATATGTTAATGAATAGGATAAAATATGCCTGAAAAATTATTTTATTCTGACAACTTGTATAAAACAAAAATTTTTGGGGCAACAAATCTTTCCCCCTTTTTACACACACTTACAACTTACAAAAGTTTTGCTTCTAAACTACCTTAAACACAAGCACAAACCAAACTATTCCAATTTCCAAAAACTACAAAAGAAAATACTCACAAGTATGTTGAGCTTGCCGTTGAAGGCAGAAGCCACTTGCTGAATGAGTTTCTCTCTCTGGGGTGGAGAAGATGCATCACAAACCGATCCAGAAACCGAAAACCCCTTCTCTTTCCACTCCTTCAAGCATGCATTCAGCTCTGCTTCATTCCTCGAACACGTGTACACCGTGGCACCAAACTCCGCCAGTTCCTCCACCACAGCGTGCCTGAATCAACACACCCACAAAACACACCACGAGAAAAACGAAACTTTAAGTCGTTTTAACAAACCCCAAAATCAAGAAACCTAATTCAATTCAATCAACAAATGGAACTCAAACACACACACATAAAAATAAAAAATAAAATAAAAAAGAACAAACCCGATTCCACGTGTGCCTCCAGTAACGAGAGCAGTGGTTCCCTTAAGAGACCATCTCGAGCCTCTGCTACTGCCCTCTGCGTTCGCCATGGTTGTTTGCTTTTGCTTCTGTTCACGTTCTTCTTGTGACCATGAAGGACGTGTTTTTCGTCTTACTACAAAACGACATCGTTTCTGCCTGGCATATTTGGAAACGCTGTTGGTGCTTGTTAATGGGCCCAATTACTGTTTTCCTGCTCTCCAGATGGGCCCATTGTGGGTTGTTTTTGTTGTGTCGTCACGCTGATGAAGCAAGAGAGTAAGCATGTTTTTGTTTTTAGTATTTTGGAAAATGACTCACATGCACAAGTGTGCAATATATAAATAAATAAACATGATAAATGATTAGTCAAAGTTAGAGGCATGTTTATTTAAAATTTATTAGATGCTTGATTGTAACTTTATATACTTTTTTTTAGAACAAGATAACGACGTGGTTCAGGTTTTTCAGGTGCCTGGATAATAATACTGAGCTTAAGTTTCCGTTTCAAACTATACATTTAACTAATCCTATGATATTCATTTGACTTTACATGTGCATTGGAAATAATTAATTTTTTTTAACCAATTTCTTGATATTCAATTGAGAAACAGCTATTTTTCAAAATCAATTCATTCTCAAACATGCTAAACATTTAGGAATTCACATGAGTAGGTAATTAGGTGCCTACGAAATTACAAAACGGGTTATAGTGATCACGGGGAAGATTCATTACAATATACAATTGTCATCACGTGCATGTAGAGTGTAGAACCGCTGTTTCTTATTTCCCTTTTGTCAAATTGAATGAACTATTTTATCTTTAAAAGGTTTCAATTTCTACATGGAAGAGTAAAGAGACATAGTGGGAGGGAGAATAAGGTTGTGAAGTGTCATTTGTCAAATCTTCTTTCACAATCACAACCAATGAATAGATTAATTATACGACGAAATGTCTGTGTAGTTGTTTTCAGTGGCAGAAGCTAGAAACAATCCTAATGCATAGACACACACGTGCTAGGTAGCTACAAATACAATTTCAGTCTCTAAGAGACGCTTAAACTTCAGCAGTATATAGCAATGGCTATAGAAATACTATCACTACACTTTGCATACATCGAAGCACCCTAAATAAAGAAAAAGAAACTTGCTAAAACAGGAACATATATCAATCTGAATTCCCACAATTAATACCCCAACCAAAAACACACATCATCATCCCCATGTGACTTCTCTTTGCTGCATGTGTATATCTTTAGATTTCAATTCAAACATAAGATAGCCAGGTATCAGGGCATTACCAAAATCAAAATGCATTAATAATCAAAATCATCCCATGAACCCACTTCTTTCCATTCGAAGTAAACACCAATTTTTATCATAAAATCGCAAACTGAGTGACCAATACTACTTCTATATATCAACTAGCTACGGTTCGTTCCGTGAGCAAATTTTTAGTAAGTGAAAGTTCAAACCAATATCGGAATAATGACTTTAGTCGTTACAGGCTCAGAAACTAGGTTTCCTATGGCACGTACCGTTCAACGAAAAAAAATTCAATACAAAATTGAGATAATAACAAAAGGTTGTTTATTTGATTTTGTTACACATTTTTAATTTAGATGCCTGTACATAAAAAAAATAACAAATAAGGGGGAAAATACATACAATTATATACCACGCGTGACATATAATGTCTATTTTTTTCTGTTCAAATAAAAAAAACCGCAACGCTTAAATATTCTAGTCAAAGACCAAACAAACCTTTTTGGTAGAAGTATGATATATATATATATATAACTATATCATGTAACTGTACTTAATAATATAAATTTTTAGAATTATTCATTGTATCATAAAATAATTCTATGAAGGGTTCTAGAGTCGATCTTTATTGTGTCCTTATTTTCAAATTAAGAGTTAAATTGCATAAAAACAAGTGTACAGCATGTACATTATCCATGCTCAAGTTACTAGAATTGTTGGTGGCCAACTTGGTTTTCTTGATCAATCTGATCTCTTTAATTTGTGCCAATAATATTGTATTGATATATAATGAGAAATTAGAAGTTTGTGAAAAGGGTAGCTGGAATTCCCCTTGATCGTAGACAGCAATGGTTCTGTTGTGTGTTCCTATCCGCAGACTGCAAAGAACATGAAGTCAAAAGCGATATTTCATCAAATTTCCTTACAAAGAAAGGTTGAAAAGAAGAGACTATGACGTCCCCGTGTATTCTGGAGGAACGGTCTGTGTCACAATAAGGTGGCTAACACTGTTTTCTAAGTGCAGCAGAAGGGTCTCGGGCTTCGAAACACATTTGAAAGATAATAAGAAGTGGACATTTTTAGGGATAACTATAACTAACATGGACATATAAGAACATAATATCACACCAAGAATAAAAACAATGACATGCTAATAAGGCCAATGATGTGATGTCCTTTCGCTCTCTACCAAACTAAATTAATATTTGGCTGTGCTGTATGTATGCATTAATGTCCAATTTCCGTGTGGTTGGTTGGGTTTTTGGAAGTGTTAGGAAGGGAGCATGTGGAAAGCAACTGAACGGTTTGGAATTTATGGGAATGATGAGGTGAAGTGGTAAGTGGGTGAGCCATCACTTGTAATGATCCGTGTAAAAAGGTTATTTCATAATTTTGTGCATGTGACTACTGTTAGTTCCCTGGAATATATGTAGCTGAAGTGACTTCTAATTGTCAGTTACTGTCAGTTCTTCTACCACTTTAATTATTACCTTACAGTCTTACACTTCAACTTTTCCTCCTCTTCGCAATTGATTCCTCTCTAAACTTGCACTGTTAGTTCAGAAACTACAAACAAAGAAGATCAGAAAAAAATATTTTCATAAACCAAAATGATACTACTGTATTCTTTCATGAAAATTAAAAAATCCAACTTGGTTTGTGTTTATTTGTTTCTCTGTCTTTGCATAGTCCATTCATTAATTGTGAAACCCTAGCAGCATTTAACATATTACTAGAGGGTCCAACTTATCACAATTGAGATGGTTGAAATTTTAGATATTATTGTTGTGTTTTTATTTGTCATTTGCTTTCAATGATGAACAGCATGCAGTTACCAAACTAATAATCCAAGAGAAGTGTCATTCTTCTTTAAGATTCTCATCATATATACCTTTTTAGAATACTTTCTTTATTGTTTTTCTTTGCATATATATCGCATCATTGATTTAATCTTACATTGTTCTCTCTTCTCTTTTTGTGTTTCTCCTTACAGAAAATATTTCTATGCTCAGAAAAATGAAACATCTATATATTCATGAAATAAAGAAATAATAATAAAAAGAAAAAGATAGTAACATGAAACTAGATATAACATTAGTATTGAAATTTAACATCTGGTGAAAATAAACCTAAGAATTCTACTCAAGGTTTAGTTGGGCGAAGAAGAAGGTTCTTGCCTATTTTCTATGAACCCCTAATAGGAAAGGGGAGAGAAAAGAAAAAAGGGAAACACTGACATTCCATTCCATTGCAACTTCTTCTCTTTGTCCTATATACTAATTAACTTTCTGTGGCTTCCCCAGCCTGAGTTCAAGATCTAAGTCTTCCATTCCCGGCTTAAGTCCAAGTACAAATTCTGCAGACTGAAAAGTTCGGTGTCTATCATTTGAGCATGGCTTGAGGAAGACAGGCAAAGAAGGTATAGAAGTCTTTGATCTTTTGTAACAGATGCCTTCGTCCTCACATGAAGTAATTGGTAACTTTTGGCCAAACACCGAACTTTGTCCCACAGACAAACTTGTTTCAACATAATCATTACAACCCAAACCTTTTAAAGCTTCTTCCCTTGCAATATTCACTGACCTTTTTGGTTCTGAATCAGGAGACCCCACATGATATCCCCAGTTAATTGAAGCAGACATGGTAGGCTGATAACAATTTTCTTGGGTGGATATAGTTGAAGGCCTAGAAGATGAGACTTTGCTTGTTGAATTTGTACCTGCATGGTTAGAGTAAGAAACTAAGGATTAAGACAACAATTGATCTAGATATGAGAGTAGTTATGTGCAGAAAATTAAGCACTTGATGACTTACAATCATTTTTGTGATGATGTTCATTACGGGGACTAAGACTTTGTTTGAGTCTAGCCCTGTCCCTCCTGTGCACATTCATGTGGCCCCCTAGAGCCTGAGCAGACCTAAACTCTCTCTTACAGAAATTACATGAGTAAGATCTTGGAGGCCATATGCACCCTCCAAGTATCCTAGCAGCATCTTCTGCAAAAGCCCTTTCCTCCCATGAAGAGTTGTTGCTGGCTCCAAATGGTTGCTGAATATGTGACTTCAGGATTTGTTTTCTCTTGATCCACATCAAGTACTGAGACTCCTCCATGTTAGGAACTGATCAAAACCTGTTAAGAGCTAGCTGAGAGTGTTGGTATAAGAAACAGGTTTGGTGGAAGAAGGTTTATATAATAAGAAGAGGTAGCTAGCTAGGGAGAGGGAATTGAATATGTGAATAGTCTAGGGTTGCATGTACGTGTCCTGGTTATTATATTTGAAAGCAACCTAAGAATCTATGAGGGAAGAGAAAAAGGTTATCTGAAAAGGTCTTGCCTTTAGTACTGAAGCTTTCTGTTGTTTTTTTTGCTTGCTACACAGACTTATTGGGAGGGTCCCATTTATGCAACTGTCTTGCATCATAACATGATTCACACGGATGAAGGAGATAACGGTTATGAGAGTAAGAAAATACATGTAAACTGTTTATCTGAACCTTCCACCGAACCCATATGGTAATACTACTGTTACACTGTCCAGTACTCTCATAATAACTTCTACTACTATGAACCACGCACATAAAGTACTAGTCATTTAAACTCGTGTCTAGTATTTCTGTTCCACTATAGTAACTACTTTATTATTATTGTTGCATGTCACTCACCTCTTTAGTCAATAAATAACACAATTTGCATGTGGGGAGCAAACAAATTATAAAGAAAATAATCCCGATAAAAGAATTCATCCGTACTTCTATCTTGTGCAGATATTTTTAATTGGAACATGATATATAACTTCTCATGAAACATGTACATATGGTCTTATACCAAAAAAAATTTATGTTTGCAACATTTTGATGCTAGCAATTCCAAAACCACGTGCATGATGAGACTCAGCAAAAGAATTACTAAAGAAAAAGAAAAGACAACTAATTAATTACTAATTTTGAGTTATTGGTAAAAAAAAATCTCAGTTTCATCAGAAATTTACTGAGTTATATATACACATATGTATGTATGTAGGTGTGTCTGAGAATTCAAAATGTTGAAGTCATTGCTTTCTGTCGTCCATGAACAAATATTATATTAAGTTTAGAAAGTAGCTAAGAGCCACCCTTTATTTGGATTATCTAAACACCTTTTCCTCTTGCATTTGTCTCTCAGAAACACCAACAGAATCTTTTAGGCTTTTCCTCCCATATCACGTTAAGCTAACAAGTCAAATTAAGAAGTCAAATAATTAATGATGTATATATAATATACATATTGAGTTTCTCTCTGTCTCACTCACACACGATTGACACAAACAGAACTCACGAACTAGTCAATCAAGGCACATATATATCCTGGTCGCAAGTTTGAATATTTCACTCACTAGTCACTTCTAAATAAAGCAGTATAAGAAACTCTAAATACGGGTAGCGAAGCAATTTTCCTTTTTTCTATTTTTAAGTGTTGAAAACACCTGGTTTCTTAAATTTGGTGGTGATTTGGCTTCTTTCAATTATGATATTCATTCATCAGCGGTTGATAACCATCATGCACAGCAAATTGGTATTAAGTAATTAGGTTCCTTTGTCATTATTTTTTAAAAATGTTTAGTGGACTTTTGAGGGGAGGAATATTATTATTGGCAAGGGCTTATTTACTAATTAAGAAGCATTATATTTCATTATTGGTCAGACTGAATAAGTAAATCAATTGAACTCCGAGCCCCACAAGCTAGTGATTCAAATATTATTAGTACCTAATCCTTCTTGTTAATTAAGCAAGAACAATTGGCTTATACAAGCGACCAAGAGAAAAAGGATGTGCCTAGCTACCATTTGTGCTGACATAAGGCACTAATGGAGCTGCATGCTTACCTGTGTTTTTATGTTAATGTTCCTGCACACATGGATGTGGAAGCCAATTAAGATAAGACAAGTATGATAATTAACATTGAATTCCAACACCATCGTAGTTTATTTTCCAAAATTTATGATCAATCACAATCAGGATATCAGCTATATTGTATTTTAAAAAATGGATGAAAATCCTTGATGATGAGACTGGACCAAATCAACCATATTATAATCCATATAGTTGACGTTTTTGGTTGAAAAGAAAAGAAGAAGAATAAAGTAGATAAAAAGAATAAAAAAGAGATAAGTAAATAAAATAAATAAAAGTTAAAATAAGAGCGTTTAATTTAAGGGGAAAAAAATATTTTTTTAATAAAATGATTGAATAAGAGACTTAATTTAATTGATTAAATAAAACACATTAACGATTTCTTGTAAAAAAGAACGATATTGAATCATTGTCCAATACGTTTCAATTGATTGCGAATGTTATTTCAAGCATCTGTAGTTCATTTTACATTATTGATTTGTGAAAAAAAATAATAATAATAAAGTGTGGGACCAGCATTTTTTATTTCTTTATTCCACTATTTTTCTTATACTAACTCACGTCATTTTAATTATTTATCTGTTTCGCTACTCACCTATTTTGTTGATAATTTGTCGACACTAAATAGAGTTTTAAAGATAATTAATACAATGATTAATCTGGTAATCGAAAATATTGCAAATATATATCTTCGTTTTCTTCCCATAGTCTGTGTAAAATATATGCTTCTAAGTAATAATATATAAATAAATTTTAAGAACTTTTATGGCAATTTTGTTTTGGTATCCAAGTTTTTGTTAGTCTAAAAAATTTGCATACATTCGACTAGTGAACTCTCGAGTCCAAATCTTAAGTTTAATAAAAAAAAATACGAAATTAAAAAAAATAACTTTAATATAATGAAGATTTCGAAAAAGACTGATTTTTAATAAAACTTAATATATATTTCTTCTAATATTATAATAAAAAAATTTACGAACCATTGCAGATGATTTCATAAATCCTGGTTTGGTCCGACAAAAAGAAAAGTGAATTCAATAGTTGAAAAATCTGATAATAATGAAAGAGATATATAAACTGAAAGCCTTTATTCCCTCCACTACTTTGGTTGGTACATTTGAAATGGCAGAAAAATAGGTTTGAGAGACGAAGAAAAAAAAATTAGAATCGTTTACGAAGAAATTTATCAATAAAGAAATAAAAAGTATGAGATTCATTTTTTTTTTCCCTAAATCAACATGAAAATAAACAGTACATTCTTAAAATTTATTCATATTCGAATAAAACATTATTCACATTCAAATAACATATTATTAAAATCATTATTTATGTGAATTCTTTTATTTATTGAAATAAATAAAATATTTATTCAAATATATCTTCCTTAGAAAATGTAAATTTCATTTGAATACGTAAACTTTTATTCCAATAAAAGTGTGTTTATTCGAATGAAAATTTAGAATTTGATTTATTTATTTCATTTACTTAATTTAAATTTATTATTTAATTAATTTTTAATCTAAAAAAATATTACTTCAAAAATCATTTACTTGCTTTTAATAATTTATTTATTTTATTTCAAAATATTACTTATTTGGTTATATAATTTTTTTATTTAAATGATTAAAATAAAAAATAATAATTTAAAAAAATTACTCTATTATTTTTCTCTTTTCCATATATTTTATTTTTTTATCTATTATTTTACTTTACTAAATATACATAATATTATTTTTCACTTATTTCTCATATTTTTCTTTAATCAAATTTTCACTTTTTTTTTTAATCTATTTTCACTCATTTATTTTTCTCTTCATATTTTTTCATTCTATTCTTTACCTATTTATTTCCTCTCTTCCAAACATATCGCAAAAGTTAGAAAACAAAGGTACTTAAGATAGTTACATATACATGATTCCAACACCACGGACAAATTAATTAAATAATTATAATGGTATGGAAATGAATTATACTTAGATGTCAAGGTCATTGACTGAAAATGTATTCACTCATGTGGATATTTGCAACTTTATTACAAAACAACAAGAAGATGGGTATTATAAAGATGAACGGTTTCCTGTTGAATAAGATAAGTACTATATATAAATGTTAATTAAGTACAAGAAATTATTTAAGCATGCCCTGATTGCAGAGTCTGCAAACTGAAACTACAGTACCATAGATCAATTTAATATGTGCTTTCGAAATAAAATGAAAAGGTGGGTGATGTATGCATGCGTTCGACATTTATTGAATGTGACATGACACTTGGTAATCAACCATGCAATGCAATTAAAATTTTTAATTGACACAGGAAAGTAGATAATGCATGTCAGTTCCAATCCAATTGATGTAGGAAATTCAAACACTAGTTTGAATGAAAAAGACAAATGGTGTAAAAGTATTTCGCGCGCCGTATGAACCATGCTGTTCATTAAACGAGTCTGTGATACACTTGTTAAAGATTAATTAATGTTCCTTAAACTAATGAGGAAGTTAACTTTTTCGTCGAGACTCGAGTGGTGACACACTAGAAGAAAATAAAATAATCATTGACGTGAAGATTTCAACCACATCTTCTGCTATGTAACTAGTACCTATATATGATTGATTATAAAATAGGTCATAAAGAAAATAGTTATTAATAAATTAGATTATGTGTAGATAATTTTTTTAATTCAAAATATATTATTTAAGCTACTAATAAATTGGTCCCTATAATACTAAACTTAATATTTTGAAGAATAAAAATATAATTAAAATAAAATATTCTATTAAAGATGTCTATCTAAGTTTTTAAACAAAAATTAGTCATTAAAAAAATTGATGATATTTCATATTAATAATATGACTAATAAAAATATACTATTTAATTTGTATTTTGCTTGTAAAGAATAAATTTTTTTTTCTGTTAAAATAAATGTTTTGAGATAATGTCTTTTGATTTTTATGTTTTTTCCATTAAGTGATCTATTACTTTTTTGAACATTAAGTATCTACTTTTATTTATTATTGATAATATTATATTTCTTTCAAATATTTTATTTAAATTTAATTTCAACAGATATTTTAGCATGCTCAATGAACATGTTTAATATTTATTACATATAACTCAAATTTGTAATAAATTATTTAAATAATAATATATTTCAATATGTAAATAATATTTAGAATTTGCATAAATATATATTTTTAAACATATAAGTTATAGTTTTTTATAGCAAAATATAAATTATATTTTAGATTTATGATAGATAATTTATATTATAAAATAATATTATTTTTATTCATTGATAACTTGTTTTAAAATATTAAAATTTAATTTATAAATAATTATGATAAATAAAAAATTATATT